GAGCTCACCTTGTCCTCTCTGTCCATGGGTATGCATGTGAGCTCACCATCGACAGGGTGAAGTATAGGCTGTCTTCTCCGGTCCTGGAGCTGCAGTGAGGCTGTGAAGGCTTGTTAGGATTCCTGCTTCCTCCACAACCTAGGTGCTGCCTCCAAGTCTTCAGCCAGGGTCAGAAAAAAGTGTGGAATATCTCTGGAATATCTCACAGCTTTTCCAGGATCCACAGAGGACAAAGCTCCTTGTGAGGATCACCAACTGTTAAGCCATGAGACTCTTCAATTTTTAATTTATCTTGATTGCTATTGTAATTGAAGTAAACTCATAAATATTGATAATCCATTGCAAGAGTAGTGGATTAATGGAGTTCGTGATCACGAGAACAGAACAATTGCCTTTAAATAGCAGATTTACAATGATCCAGTAGATGGCTTTAAAGGTTTGCGCAGATCTGTGATTTACGGATTTGGTCTAAGCTACGAGCACACATAGCAGAGCAGCCTAATGATGAGTCGATGTCACTATTAAAACTTTTTTTAGGTAATTACACTGCAGTCATAATTGCAATCATAGTTTAGGAGCATACGTTAATTAAAAATGTACATGTTTTGTAAAGGTTGGAAATTAGCATAAATATTTAAATGTTTTCTCATTTTGATACTGTATACAAAATGATTGACGTTGTTTCTTTGGGTGTGCATGGGGGTGTTGATTATAATGAATACTAATACATATTTCTCCTTTTTTTGTGGTATAAAATGTATATCTTTTTTTACAAGAGTATTGAAATGATCTTAATTAGCACAGTTTTGAGACTCATAATTTGATATTAATGTTATGATGACAAAACGCACCTTGAACAGGAGGCTGCTATCTTCTTAACAAACCTTACTAATTGTTCGCAGTCTTCCTGCTTTGGCAGCTTTCCAGGCATTGTCGCCTGTGTCCCTGTAAACTGTAATTGTTGTGTTAAAAGAAGTGTCATCTGATTCATTGAAAAGTGTGGTGATAATGCAAAGAGATGGTTGGGGGGGGTCTTTGCACCAGTCTGTCTGCTTTCCTTATCCTCCTCGTTCTGTCCCTGAACATCCGGAAACCTGGGAAACGGGAACATGTGCTTCGGGACCCTCCTTGTGGCAGAACTGTGCGGTTGTGCGTGTTCAGTGTTGCACCCTTATGTCTGAACTCCTGCTCTGGGAACGCGAGGGTTAAAGTGCCGTGTTTGCGCCCTGTTCCTGGGGGCAGGTGCTTCCCCAGCGCCCTGGTGTGGCTGTGTGGAAGTCAGCGGAATTTTAATGGGGCATCGTTCTCTTGAGATTTATTTCCATTTGTCTATATTTGCCGTGCCCTCCCCTCATGTTATTTCTGGTTGTAAGACAGCCAAGGAGGCCAAAGTAAATGCAGGGAAGTTTACTGAATGCCATTTGTTCCAGAAACAGGACGTGAAAAAGCGAACCGAATCAAGAGCCCTTCCTTAGTCCAAGAAAGTTTTTTTTTTCTTTCTGATCATTACAGGATATTGCAGGTTATATTTCAGGGTTATTTAGGAAGGTATGTCAGAAACTTGAAAGACACTTGATCAACACTCAGACGTATTTTCTTTGAGTTAGTTATTTAATATCACATAAAGTAACTGTGAAATTCTGATCCTCTGCAGGGGTATCAGTTCAACATTTTTATATATATAAACACATCCTGTCTCGTCGGTCACTCTCTTTGTGCTATTTCTTCCCCTCCTGGGTGGTCCTTCGAAACACACCTGCTGCCTAATCCACTTATCAGTGTCTGGGACAAATTATGGGGAAACAATCTACTCCTCTGAAGGTTTTAACCTATTTATGGGTCAAAGTCACTGGCGTGCACCCAGACTCGGATGTCAGAGATTTGCCTAAGAGCCGCTTCCTAATTGAAGCAGATTAAGATAGGCTGACAGCAGCCTGAGCTTTCCAAATTGAAATGCTGTAATCCATTAGGTTTCATCAAATCGGACACTTTTGGAGCCCACCAGTAAGGTCGTTAATGAAGTGTCAGTGAGGCCAGGGTGTGCAGGCTGGGCATTGGATTTCTCAGAGCTGGGAAAAGGCTTACACTAGATAACAGCGCTTGCCTGCCAATCTCTCTGTTCTCTGCGCTGGCATGCACTGCTGCAGGTCTCCCACATTTTCACCACTCAGGGAACTAAGTAGGCCACAGGCAGAGCGATATCCTTTTTCGTTGCACTTACGTGCCTTCTTAGAATAGAAAAAGAGGCCCTTTGATAGTGCAGAGATATTGGTTTCACAGAAATGGATTCTAAACCTGCCGGAGCTCAGATTTATTTGAAAGGGATCTTTTCCCTCCACCTTTTAGGAGCTCAGCCGCAGCGCAGCCCACCCACACTAAATTAATTTTGACAAGGAACTTAAGATAATGTCAAACCGCTGACTAATCAGTGGATTCGGTTTCTCTGAATCACAGAGCTGTGAAATGTGCCATCATATCTAATAAAAGTGCTGGATCGCCTTTTTGGGCTGTGGTGTCATGTCTCGTTTGAAAACAGTTAGATTTCATTTGGGAATGATTGACATAATCTAAGGCAGGTTGAGAGAAAAAACACTCTTTACAGTCTCCTGGTAGTCTTTGTTTGTTTAGATAGTATAGCCAACATTACATCTCCCCTTTTTTTTTTGCTTCAAAATACCCTTTTTGAGAAGGTAAAATATGTCTTGTCAGGTGTTTTATTTTGCAGTTTTCTCCCTCTTGCCGTTTCTGTTTAAGGAGCAGGTGTTGGGGTGCTGTTGGTCCTGTGGGGTGAAAGGGGTTCACACACCTCCGGGGGGAAAGGTCAGACATGCACCTGATGTGGGAGGGCTAACCTTGACATGGACCAGCAGTCCATTTAACCAAGCCTCTTGGAAGACGCTGTTGGTGAATCCATAAGTCCTGCAGCACATCAAAGAGTGAAAGAAGGAAGGGTATATACAGTACAGTATATTAGGTGTGGCTTCATTTCCACATCGGGCTTTTTTCCAGTCTGGTTACCCATATGTTCTGCTGGCTAGTGCCACTCGCACATTTCCTCTGTTTTTTTTCAGTCTGTCCCGGACGTAGTTGTCTTTTTAGGATGAACAGTGTATCTGATAGAACATTCTGTACAAATATACTGTACGGAGGGCTGTGTTTGACTACGGACGTGCTGTGTTGACTGTGTACTGCGGTTGTGTGCTGTAGGGTTTTACTGGAAGTTATCTGCCTCTGATATATCCGGCGAGGTGGCAGAACCACTCAGCAGAGAAGCTTTTTCAAGGGTGGGTGGGCTCTTTAAAAAACATTCAAAGCAGAAAGAAATGTTAGTGGTCTGCTGCTTGGTGAACGTGAGGATGGTGCCCACATATTCCCAAGCCAGTAACTGCTCTTTTGGAGCACCCTGAGGTCACTTGCCCTGGTCCTGGAGATCTACAGCATTTCTGGTTTCGTTTATAATCGAACTTCCAGATACTTTACTGAACCAAATATTAGCTTAAATAGCAACTAATTGCTATTTAAAGCGACTCCTTTCACAATGTGTCTGTTAACATTCGTGAAAACCATGTTTTCTTAAAACATTTATTTTTAAATCATAGGTTTAGCAAGAACCAAAATAAAAATTGTATAGCTTTTGAAAGTTATCCAGAGTTTACTGGATTTAGAATCTGAAAAAGGCAATTCATATTTACTGTGGAGCAAAAGAAAAGGAAAATTATATTGTTGATTTTCAAACATCAGCTTTTTTTTTATTTTCCTCTCAACGTTCAATGAATTACGGACACAACTTTAAGAAATGGAACATGTGCCATCTAGAAATGCTTAATAACTGTGACTGGATTTGTCAAGGAGGAACGTGACCACACTGAGAATGTCTGTCATTGCAGCTTGCATATTCAGTTGGAACAGTTTATGCCAGCTGCCTATTCCAAGCCCAGATTTGATAGTATGTTTTCTACTGGCTTGGCGCAAGAACATAATGTGGAAGAGAAAGTCTCCATGTTCAGAATTTGCTGCTGGAAGGTGTGTTGAAGCCTTGGATGAATATGAGTCTAAGAACGATAACGATGCAGTTGTGCATATTCATTGTGCTAAAGAGCTGAAGTATAACTTCCTAATTCAGCACTTACATCATAATGTCCCCGTCTCTCAAATGAATACATTTTTGGCTTGTGTAACATCTACAGGATTGCTTTTAATATATGCAATGTAGGCATTTCTAGTTGGCTTTTTTTACTTTAGTGAAAGGTAATAACTAGTGTTCTTGCTCTCACCTGTTCTGGTTTTAACATGGCCTGTCTGTGTGTACCGACCAGGGGGGCTGAAAGTGATACTGTAGCTGTATCTTCTCAACATAGCCTTAGGACATGCTTTCTTACATGACAGAAAGTGAAACTATGCAGACATGGTTTACAGATTACATTTTCTTTTTAAATAATTTTCAATATATGTATTTCCGTACAAAAATAATTGTTAATACCACAGTATTAGTAGAATTTGTTCTTGCAGTTTCCAGCTCCCTTCTTGTTGTGAACTATTAAGCGATCTGCTTGTTGAAATTGTGATCCCTTCTGTTTTTTTAAAATAATTGCAAGAGTCTTTTGGGTTGCTGTCAGAAAGTCAGCAGATCTGGCTTCGCCAAGCATTAAATGTTCACTTTTCAATGAGACATGCACAGCTTTGTGAAAGAGGCCACAAAAATTAATAGTTTTTTATTCGCTGTTTTTTTTCCTCAAATAAAATGTGTCATTTTTAAATGTTATTTAATGTCTTGTCATTTTGAGACATCTGGATCCTCACGAGCTGCATGTTTACAGCTCTGAGTTTATAGGGCTGCCTCAGGACTGTGGTTTCTTCCATGGTCTGCCTGTAGATTGAAATGTTATTTATGGTGTTTATTTCCATTGAAACTGCTAAGCATTATTGTCCTAGAATGTCGTCTTTAATTTGCTGTGGGAAAGTAACATAGGACTGCTGAGGTAATCTGTTGTTGCCGGATGTGAGCTGTATTAAGTTAAAAAGATGTGTCATTTTGAGTTCAGCTGTTCTAGGTGCTGGTAAACTGTTTCACAACAGTCATTTAGTAAATATTCAAATTTTGAGCTTTGATGTCTCTGTTTATTATCGGTGATGTGTCTGTTTTTGCTTAAAGCGGTAATCCTGGGTGTCTGAAGTAATTCGGAGTGTCGTGTTTCCTGACAGCGTCGAGCAGAGCCTGAAGGAGCTGCAGGTGGAGCTGAGCGGCGTGTGGAGTGGAGAGAGGGGGCCCGGCACTGCCGACTGGCGCAGCCCCTGGAGCCTGAGCTCCCTGAGGCCCACCTGCACCGGGCGCCAGGCCCTGCTGGACTTCCTCCGAGCACTGGTAACGTCACACCGTGCCGTCCAGGTGTTTAAAAACGACAAAAGACAGCGGGCCCGGCTTTGACATGCCCACTGTTTCAGGTTTTACTGACAGCCGTCAGAAAATATTAGTCGCTGATCAGTCGCTGTTCAAGTAATCTTCCTTGTCAGCAGCTATATCACCCTGTAACTCCCAGCTGGCAGCCCACTGGGGCTCAGCAGCTGTGAGCCTGGCCAGTACCTGGATGGGAGACTCCTGGGAAAGCTGAGGCTGCCGCTGGGAGGGGTGTAAGTGGGGCCAGTAGGGGGCGCTCATCCTGCAGTCTGTGTGGGTCCTAACGCCCCAGTATAGTGATGGGACACTAGACTGTAAGAAGGCACCGTCCTTCAGATGAGATGTAAAACCGAGGTCCTGACTCTCTGTGCTCATTAAAAATTCCAGGGCGTTTCTCAAAAGGAGTAGGGGTGTAACCCCGATGTCCAGGCCAAATTTCCCACTGGCCTTCATCAGTCGTGGGCTCTTACTAATCCCCATCTCTCATCACTCTGTTCTCCTCCCCCCTGAGAGCTGGTGTGTGGGGAGCGGACTGGCGCATCATCCAGGTGGGGCTGCACACTGGTGGTGGTGGAGGGGAGCCCCATGACCTGTAAAGGGCTTTGAGTGGAGTGTCCATAAAGGGCTATAGAGGTCTAATGATTAATATCAATTTTTCCATATTTCACAAAGTTTGAGTGTTCAAAGTGATGTGGAATAATCCCAGAGTCTTGGAGCTATTAACGGGTTTTAATGGGTTATGCGGTACTTCCGTTCGTGAGGTTTCTTTGATGATTTGGGGTTTTACCTGGAAGGAGCTAGAATGACAACTGCCATGTGGTACAGCAAAATGTAATCAGGGGTATGTTATAGCTATAATTAATAATAATAATTGCTTACACTTATATAGCGCTTTTCTGGACACTCCACTCAAAGCGCTTTACAGGTAATGGGGATCCCCTCCACCACCACCAATGCTATACTCACTGAATGTGAATCATGTTTGATTTGAACAGTATTACAAGCGAGAGCGAATGTGCACCGAGTTATAATTGGTGTCGTTTGCTGCCCAACAGCAGCACTTCCTGAAGACCGAGCGGGGCCAGGAGGACGTGGTGCTCGAGCTGCTGCTGGACGTCTCGTCCCAGTGCGGCGTGTCTTTCCCCACCACGGCCGCCGCCGCCCCCTCCTCGCCGCTGTCCTCCCTGCACGCCGTTCGGGAAGAGGCCTGCCTGGACGTCCAGTCTGCCTGGGACGACGTCCGGCTGCAGCTGCGGCGCCCCCTGCTGGACCGGCTGAGCGGCCGCGCGG